CAGCCAAGCCACCGCCAGTGGTAGGCTGCTCTCATCCAGATCATCAGATTCGGTACTACGGGAACCAGTGGCGCAGCGGGTCCAAGTGCACCGCCTGCGGCGCTCGCATCACCTGGATTCCCAAGAATGGTCCAGGTGCTAGCCCGAACGACGAGGACCGTCCCGAGTCGGCCGCCCAGGCAGCGAGATCGGCAGCTCGCTCAGCCCAGCGGGCAGTCGACATCCTTCAACAGAACGAGGGATTTCAGCAAGGCGCTGCGGCGCTAAACGTCGTCAATCAGCTGAGCGGCCACCTTCAAGCGATGCAGTGGCAGCTGCACAACATACCGGAGGGCGTCAAGGCGTTGGGCCAGGTGCAGGAGACGCTCAACCAGATGATTGCTGTCGCCACGAACATCCAGAGCTTCCCTGCCGGGCTGGAGGAAGGACTGATGCAGATACACCAGAGCTGCGTCACCATCCAGCGGATCCTCGGCGGCTTCGAGCATTTCGGGGAGAACCTCGACTTCATCCAGACGTCCCTGGACAATATCGCGGTGACCGTGAACAACATCAATGCGGCCACCCAGCAGATGGTGGTCATGATGGTCCAGATCGGCACGGCGATCCAGGGCCTGGTGAGTCACCAGAACGCCCAGATCCAAGCGTCGGGCGCAGCGTCGAGCAGCTCGGGCTTGGAGCAGCCGCCGCCTCCGCCGGAGGACCCGAGCAACATGCAGGGCAGCGGAGATTCGTGGACGGGAACGACGACGGTCACTACCACAACTCAGTCCTACGAGGGATGGGATCTAGTCTGAGCCGGCCACGACGCCAGCGACTACTGGCTTCCGGGATTCGGGAGCCTAGGACTTCTGTCTTGCGGCTGCAGGCCTGTCCCTCGGCATGCGGCTGCTGCGCCGAGGAGGAGCCTCGAAAGAATCACCTCCCTCAGGTCGTCTCTCCTTCCCATCTCCCGTCATCGACGTCAGAGGGCTGCCATCCCAAAGACCGGTCCGTCTCCTTTTCCTTTCCCTCTTTCCCGGACTTTCCTCCAGGCCTCCAGGAGGCCGTCGGTCGGACCCAGGGTCGAAAGGATCTTCGAGACGAGGAAGGCATCTGGCTTGATGGCGATGTCTGGAACGATGATCGAGAGGTTGCGTGCCCAGCAGCGGTATCACGAGCTGTCGCAAGGGCAGCGCAGCAGCACCCAGGAAGCAAGAACGCCGTCGGCCAAGGCGCTGCTGAGCCTGAGAGGAACCCTCGGAGGAGAGGGAAGACCGCTTTCCTTGAGATTTTCTCCCCTCCCCGGATGGCCCCAGAGGTCCAGAAGCTCGGGGCTCCTCTAGGGAGCCGGCCCAGTCTGGACCGACTCACGGGCTGGGACTCCTCGGACCCTGGGCAGGTTCAGGAGCTCTGGTGCCTTCTCGAGGAAGAGGAGCCGGACTTTGTCTGGCTCTGTTCGGAGTGTCGGATATTCTCTGCAATCAATCGGTTAAATAAAAACAAGCGGGACCCTGAGGAGTGGCGTCGGGCGGTGATCGATGGTCTGAGAGATCTCGCTCTCTGCATGGAGATCGCGGCCTTCCAGCATTCTAAGGGACGTTACTTCGCCTTCGAGCATCCACTATACGCGAGCTCGTGGGCCTCTCAGGTCGTATCATACGTCGCCTCACTCTCCGGAGTCCGTAAGCTAAGGCTGGACATGTGCATGTTCGGGCTTCAAGTGGACGAGAGGGGCCTGAACAAGAAGCCCACGGGTATTTTGAGTAACCACCCCCGAGTCCTCAGGGCCTTGGACGGCCACCTCTGCGACGGTACCCACAAGCATGCCATCCTTGAGGGCAGCTGGCAGACGTCCCGAGCCGCCCGCTACCCATCCAAGTTTGTTAGGCGAGTGGCTCGCGCGGTGGCAGAACAGTGGCAGGGGGTGTCCAAGGAGGCGAGGCCTACGTGGGCCGAGCTGTCCGAGCTCTCGTTTCCGGCGGAGGCTGGCGAAGGCGATCCCCTCGGCGAGGAGGCGGAAGCCGAGGAAGATGAGCTTGACGACAGCGGGGACGAGCCTGAGACTCGACCAGTCGACGGCCGGAAGGGAGCCGTTATTCCCGACGAGGATCCGAGCGAGGAAGAAAAACGTCTCATTTACAAGCTGCATGTGAACATGGGTCACCCCGATGTTCGCAAGTTTTGCCGTGTGCTCCGAGCTGGTGGGGTGAAAAGGCACCTCGTTCGGTGGGCCCGTAACAAGTTCAGATGCTCTGAGTGTGCCGAGCGACAGCGAGCGAGCAACCATAGGAAGGTGGCTCTGCCGCGCACTTTCAGGTTCAATCACATCGTCGGCATAGATTTATTCTATCTGGACTTCCAGGGCACGATTCACCCGTTTATGAACGTCGTGGACCACGGGTCCAATCTCCAGCTCTGTGTCAGACTCGCCGATGCCAGAGCTGCCTCCGTGTGGAGGGCCTTCGTAGCCGGATGGATCCGCCCGTTCGGAGCCCCCGACTTCATGATCTCGGACGGTGGTTCTGAGTTCGGGGAGCGCTTTGCCAGGGGCCTGGAGCAGTGGGGGGTGATGCATCATGTCTGCGACGCAGACAGCCCGTGGCAAAACGGCCGAGTTGAACGCCACGGGGGTTGGGTGAAAGATCGGGTTAAGCAGGAGCTCGACGCTGGCTCCTCCCTCCCGGGTTCTCTGGACGAGCTCGATGAACTGGTGCATGAGCTGGTCGCGCACAAAAATCGTTTCTGGCACCGAGGAGGGTTTTCACCAGCTCAGCTGGTTTTCGGCCAGAACCCCAGGCTTCCCCACGACATCCTATCGGACGACACAGGGGCCGTGCCCGGGTGGCGCGACATGCTGAGCCCAGCGTCAGAGCAGGACTCTGCTGGTGCCGAGTTCGCCCGATCTCAGGAGGTCAGGGCCGCGGCACGGCGACTGGCCATAGAGGCCAACGCGCACGAGAAGATAAGCCGTGTTTCCAAGGCTCGGGCCCCGGCGATCAAGAGCTTCACGCCGGGCCAGTGGGTGTTTGTGTGGCGCAACCTCAGCCGTGCCTCGTCGAGAGCTGATGCGCTCGGTCGCCGACGGGCCTGCTGGACGGGCCCCCGGGTGGTCGTGCTGTGCGAAGGAGGCACCGTCTGGGTTGCCGTTCCGGCGCGTCTGTGGAAATGTTCCATCGAGCAAATGCGATTTGCCAGTCCGGAGGAGGAATACGGCTTGCAGCTAGCTCAGAGCCCTCAGTGGCAAGAGCTGCTGACTCAAGTGCACGCTCGCCGAGCATCCGCAGTGGATGTCCAGCGCGGCGCGAGGGTCCTCCCCTGGACGACGCCTGGGACCAACCCTCTCGCCACGAGGCGGACGCGGCTCCTCACCTCCCGGGGGTCCCGGGGCTAGTAATTTTCACCGAACGCCACAGATAACCCCGCCAGGGCCCCGCGCCTCGGCGTGACCCGCGACCGCTTTGGATACCCCAAGAAGACCTCCTCCTAGTCCTCCTCCTCCTCCTCCTCCTTCTCTCCCTTTTCTCCTGGCGCTCCTCCTTCATCCTCGTGCCCCCGCTCCTGCTGACGATTCTCCTCCTGCTCCTCCTCGCGTTTCCTCGCACTCAGGGCCCGTCAGCCGTCAGGAGCCCGCCCAGGACGCAGGGCCCACTGGGGGGAGGTGGATTCGATTCGATTCGCACGCCCATATTATCCGATTGTCCTGAGGGGGAGGGGGGAGGAGGCGGAGGAGGAGGAGGAGGAGCAGCAGCAAACGCAGGAGCAGAGGAGACCGAAGAGGAAAAGCAGCAAGATGAGGGATACGATGGCGGCGGCGGCGGCGACATCGGCGACCTGACGACGATGATGCCGGCGCGGCGTCTCTGAGTTTTTCACTCAGCTTCTGCTCCCGTTCCCCCGGGGAGTCAGAGTACTCTATCAATCTATTCTGATGTGAGGTCCACAACTTCGGATGCGAGTGCACTGGTCGGCCTGGGCGACGGCGACGGTGTGTCTGTAGCACTCGCACGGCCACTAGACGCGGGCGAAGAAAACACAGGCTCGCTGACCACTCTGGATTCGCCAGCTTGAAGGCCTTTGAGCTTGCAGAGCCAGACGCCTGTAGGGTATTTGCGCCATGTGACACGCTGGCGCTTCACAGGAATGTCCGGCAAGAGGAATATATTCTCTTCGGACCACAAGCCGCCATGGGTCTCGTCACGAACTCGACGGTTGGACAGGTCAGCAGCAGCTGGGGGCGAATCCAGAATCCTGGAACGGGCCCTAGAAGTCATGTGGGTTCTCGGATGACGGACCCCACCTCAGCCAAAAAAGGGCTACGCAACCGAAAGACAAGTGGTGGTGGTGGTGGTGGTGGTGGTGGTTGGTAGTGGTAGTGGTAGTGGTAGTTGTCGCAGTAGTAATAGTAATGGCAGTGGCGGTCTGGCAGTGCAATTTGCGGTGGTAGTGCGGTAGCGTTGGCAGTGGCAGTGGGAATATTAGTGGTGGAGGTAGTTGCATTGGCATAAGTTGGGTAGTGGAGGGTAGCATGATGAGATATGAGGACCCCCTTCCAAGAACACCTGGCGAACCTCCACATCATGCTCCTCCTTCTGGTCCTTCATCCTCCACTTCCTCCCACTGTTCCCCTTCTACCTCCTCCAACTCCTCATGCCATCTACTATCCTCGTCTTCCTCTTTGTCTTTTTTCTTCGTCCTCCTCTCCCCGCGACTCTCACGGTTGGGTGCGCTCCCTTGCGGGGAAGATGGGAAGAAGGAGGAACGTGAAGGAGGGGGGAGGAGCAGAACTTGGAGGAGGAGGGGGGAGTAGGCTAGGTGGAGGAGGACGAGTCCGCGAGCAACTGGGGGAGGGGGAGGGAAAAAGGAGAATGAGCAGTATCTGCTTCGAGGTGACATTATCCCCGTCGGGATCCCCGTGTCTGCACAAATCACTGTGCAGCTCAGCTACCATCGAAACAAAATTCGAAACAAACTCACATTGACTCTCGCATCTCGCATTGACCTGACTCCTGAAGCTACGCACTGGGCTCAATCATGCCCTGCAACATCGACCAGAACTTCGACACTGGATTTTCAACTCCATGGACGTTCTTGTAGCACTCGGCGTAGGACTTGAATGACTCCATGGGGGCCGTGGACGAATACAGCGAGCCTGTGCGGAAGCCGATGACATTGGAATCGTCGAGCGTGCGCTCAACGATGATGCACCCCATCGGCAAGAAGGAAGTGGATTCTGGGCCAGCGATGCCTCTGTAGATCTTCCCGCCAGCCTCTTTGTACACGTCGAGGCTTTCCTTGGAGTTCAAAGAGTTGACGATCCCCTGGGTGAACTCCTCGATGGTGCTGGAGTCCTTCATCTCCGTGCCCACTTTCGTGGCGTAGGCCAGCAGGTCCGTCCACGACAACACTGCATATTCGCGCTGGCCTGCGATCGTGTAACGCACCGTCGCAAGCCCATGCTTCTCCAAGCCCGTATACGAAGCCCCCGACGAGCACGCGAACAAGCTGACCGACTCGACTGCCTTCACGGCCAGCGTGTTCGGGTCGTTCGCTCCGGTGGACTTGTACTTGATCGTCGCCCCTGGTCCGGTCTCGAGCATGGCCTTGCGGATGTGGTCCTTCTGCTCGTTGGCGAACGGGGTCTGCCCGCGGCCATCTTTACCGGCTTGCACTGAGCTGGGGTATTGGATCTTGAAGACTCCCACTGCCGCTTTGACCGAGCGTTCTTGTACGATCTTGGACATGCAGTTGTGCTTCATTACGATGTACGGGATGCCCACATTGGTATCGATGCTCTTCGTGGTAAGCGCGTCCTTCACATCTGCCGCGGTGTCGAACTTACGGATGTCCTCAATCACTTCATGCACTTGGTTTAGCAGCGCCACCTCGGCTTGCTTGATGTTCTGGCGCTCCTGAGCCTTCTTCTTGGCCGCGGCACTTGCTCTCTTTTCCTCCTCCTTCGATTTCTTCAGTGCCTCGGCATCCGCCTGCTTCCTCAAAGCCTCCCGCTCCTTCTCCTGCTTTTTGTCAAACCCTGAGACGTTGTTCAGGCACTCTGAGATGCCAGCGCAGCAGACCTTCGTAAGCTTAGCAATCAAGGCGGTGGCATCGGTCACTGCTTTCTTCACGGCGTGGCCCTGGTCCTCCGTTGTGGCGTACTTGGCCATCATGTCGAACTCGTTAAACCGATAGAACACGGGCAAGTCCTCGGGGTTGGTGATCGGCATCGCCGCGCCCAGATCTTTCTTCGCGGCGATGAGAGAGAGCAAGCGGAATTTGCTGAGGCGCGAGCAGAACGAGAGCTTGAGCAACTCCTTAAATTGCACTATGCCGCTCTCGAAGAGGGGGGAAGTCGGGCCACCGAGCTTGACGGCACCATCATCTGCATCGGCCGAGGTCCACCCCATGGACTTGAGCGCAGACTGGACGAAGGGCTGCTTCACGATCTCCTGCATCCCGTCGCTGTTCATGATGGCTGTAATATTTTCAATCTTGGCCCCTGTGTAGGTCTTAGTCTTCATGACCTCGTCCACTGCATCGAGGCCTCACCCAGCTTTCCCACTCCCGGATCGTCGTGGGCCTTCAGCGTAGTCTCGAGTTGGTACCGCACCTCGCGGACGCTTCGTGCAAACCGATGGAACTCCATCTGAGTGAAGCCGCTGCCATCTCCGAACTTCGCGTTGGTGTTGTCCCACCCGGCTTTCGTGAAGAGCGACTTGCACTGTCCTGTTGTTGATGTGCTTGCCAAGGCCTGCTGCGCCAACTTGATCTTATTCAGCACGTCCGCCGCTGGAACGATCTTCAACGTGTTTGGGTCTGGGTCTGGCGTCGCCTCCAGCGCCGCATCCACCACGGCCAGCGCCTTTACCGCAGCCTGGAGTGAGGTCTTACCTGCCCCGTCGAGGACTCCCATCAGCCCGAAGCTCTCCTCGTTCTCGTTCCCCGGGTGGACAAATATGAAGCGCAAGAAGTCCATGCGATTCAACATCACGTCCACATACCTGAGCTGATTCTCGACGGCGCCATCACCGAAGATGCGCTGCGCTGTATCATTGTAAGCCTTCTCCGAGGATAAGAAGACCTGCGTGATCTTGGTAACGCCGTCCTTGGACTTCTCCTTGATGAAATCTTGCAGCTTCAAGCGATTGATTTCGTCCCACGCCTTCTCTTGCTTCTGTGTCGGCTTTTTGTCGGCGCTGGCGTTGATCACGACCATTCCTGCGGATGACGTGCTCGCGCCGTCGGAGAAGCCGCTGAAAGAACCACAGCCCGATCCCGAAATAAAGCCGCCACCGTGTGCGAACGCACCACCTCCCACGTTGTCGAACATCGAGTCGTTGAAGCTCGCGTGGCCCTCGACCAAGCTGGATCGCCCCTCCTCCACCTGCTGCTCGCCTGTGACCCTCCTCTTCTTCGACTCCAACACCATGGACCTCTCGTGCTCTGAGATGTTCGCTGCGACGATTGCCTCCTCGACGGGCATCGGCAAGCGCAACTCGCCCTCAGGGCCCTGATTATCTTGCAGCTTGAGCGGCGTCTCGTTCTTTGCCTTGGTCCATTCCGCCTCGGCAATGTGAGCAGGGAACATGAACTGCTCGGTCGCCAACTTCATCCATCGGGCCTTGTGCATCTTGACCTTCTTGGTCTCTTGGCGCAGCTGCGTCTTGGCGGAGTATTTGCTCAACAACTGCATCATGTCAACCGCGGTGCGCTTCACGCCTCTCCCCGTCGCTGGGCTTTGAGTGGCGAAGTCGACGATTGCGTTGCTGAAATCGCTGGGGGGATCGCCAGCCTCGTCCTTCATCTTGTTGAGCCTGTCCTGACCCTCGGCGTTGCCGTTCTTCTTGTCCTGGTCCTTGGTTTGCTTCATCATCGCGTCGAACGTCCTCTTGTCATCCCAGCAGAACTTGCTGTTCGAGGGCATGTCGGGTTTCAGCAACCCGCAGACCATGCACGGCCCGTACTGCTTCCCCTTGCGCGGCGTCGCACTGAGACCACTGCCACCTTTCGACGGGGTCGGGGGCCCAAACGCTTCGAGGTCCATCAGATCAGCCTCCATCTGAGTCTGCCCACGGTCTCGAGACGACATCGCGAGGCGGAGGAGTGCGGCACTCGGAGTGCGTGGTCCGAACAAGTCAACTCAATGCGACGGGCAACGGGAGTCGCCCATCACGGTGGGCCGGCCCGACGTAGCGAGCCTGCAAGCGAGCAAAAATGATTACGGATAGCGAGGGATGAGACACTGGTAGCAAAAGACCTTTGGGATTCCGACCTTTCCAATTAGACGCAATTTGTATTCAAGCCCGAAGATAGTTTCCTTAAGCTCTGGCCTGACATCTAAATTGGAGCCAAGGGATGCACGCTGATATTGGGAACGAGGAGTAGCACGCTGGCCGCTGGCTGGCCTCGCGAGGCGTATGAAAAGTCAACATTCGTAAGATATATGATGTGCATTCGACCAAACTGTAAGTTTCAATATCTTTCCTACAACGCTGTGTGCCACCCAGGACTTAGGTCAGTGACGGTCAATGGGTAGCCTGACACTCACACTCGAGTTCCACGCCGAAAGGAGGAGCAGGAGGAAAATGAGGAGAAGAAGGATGAGTCAGAGAGATTTGGAGGAGGAGGATGGAATGGGAGGAGGACGTGGAGGAGGAGGTGTCTTGGCAGCGAGCAGCGAGAGAGCGGAACCAGCCATCATCAGTGACATCAGCCGAGCATGACTGCACAACGCGGTCGGTGGCCGCAACAGTCAAGCCTCTTCTGTAGAGATCGGATCGACTGGCACCCCAAGATAAAAAGAACGCGAAATAACGACCCCCCTCCTGCTCCTTCCTTTCTCCTCTCCACCCTCCCTTGCGGCAAGACGCGACAGCCTAATGCTGTCAGACACGCTCGCACTCATGATTGTAATGCCCCCTTCCCGCGAAGGCCAGGCACGAGCAGCTCAGGCAGTACAGGACGAATGCAGCCATGTTCACGATGTGGAAGGCATTGCCTGCAGCTTTCGAAATCCCGTGGTCTGTGATCCACTCACGCGCTGCCTCCCACATGAAGCAAGGGTAGTCGTTGCTCTCGAGTTCGGGGAAGCAAGCCTCGCCCATCACGCTCAGCTTCTCGCGAGGGATCATGAGCTCATTCGTGGCCACGTTCACGATCTGAGCACTCTTGAGAAGCGTCGGAACATATGGGCCCAACATGCTCCTCTTAGGAACCCTCTCGAGATCAGCGAGGCAGGCACCACTGATGGCCTTCTTCTCGGGAGCTAGCGCCTTGGCGGATGCCAAGCGCAGGGCCTCCTTGGCCGTCAACGCATTCTCCAAAGGGATATCTGCATGATCTTCAAAATGATTGCCTCGTAAGATGGCCTTCGCCTTGATGTAGGTCTTGCGGTCATTGGCCGACGCCATGAACATCGAGTCACCGTCCAAGACGGGGCAAGTGAAGAACACCTCCTGGAACTCTTGCCAAGACCCTGAGAAGTCAACGTGGATGGGTTTCCAAGCGAACGTGAAGCGCCGCGGCCTTTTACATGGCCAGCCCATCTGGGATGGAGACATTATGCCGCTCATGATCTTAAACCCTTCGGGCTCCAACGCGTCGCGGTAGAAGGGCTCTGGGGCATTGTCCGAGATGTCAAAGAAGCAGGCGTCCACGTTCAGTTCCAAGAGGATCTGCAAGAAGACCTCCCACACGATCATCTTGAAGCCGCAGGTGCCGTCGCGGTTCCCTGGCCGGGCGAAATCTTCGCAACACGACCCAGCAAACAGGATTTTCATTCGTTGGCCCCTTGACGTGTTATCTGTCGTCCAGCTCCAAGGGCAGGCTGCCCCAGGTCGATGGCAGACGCAGGTCGGCACCCCCTGCTGGTCCTTGTTGAACAAGACCTTGTCGATCCGAGACTGCTTTAAGTAGTCCTTCATCTCGCGGTAGGCCATCTCCTTCACGTCGTTGTCAGCGCATGCATGAGGAGTCATGCGATGTATGATGTCCCTGTGCTCTGGCTCGATGAACGTCATGATGTCGCCGAAGACGTGCTCGTAGATCGGTCGTCCTGGCTGCCCCTGGCTCTGCCGTCCGCCCGTCCGCATGCCGAGCAAGATGTTCTGGCAAATGGGGTCCGCATCGGTCGCAACCAATGATCTACACGAATCACTCGCTTCGTCCATGCTGAATTTCTTCTTGAAGAGCGTGTTGAGATGAGTCATGATGGTGCCGTCAGTGCCTTTCCCGGAGTAAAACGACACGGCGTCGAAACCCAGCTTTGCGTTGCGTTGAAGTTGAAGTAATCGCACTGGGCCAGTCTCTGAACATTCCAGACGAGAGTATGCCCAATCTTGCCACTGGAAAAGCTCCTTCACCGTGCTGGGCCCGTCCGCGTACATCTGCAAAGCCTCCTTGTGGTCCAGGCCACCAACGCGGCACCGTTTCATCGGCGGCTGCTCCGTGGATAACATCCTTGCGGCCACCCCCCAATGGCCTTAAGCAACGGAGCACGGTGCAGCAATCCGCTTGAACCGAGAATGATGACGGGCACGAGGAGAGGGACGCTGACAACGACGAGGTGCCAAGCTTGACTCAAGACCACCATATTGGCGTTCGACTGTTTCATTGTTTGGTTCTGATGGGCTTGTGGATTCCTACTGGACCCCTTTGGACACCTACGGCCCCCTGGGAGCGCATGGACCTCTAAAGGCCCCCAGTGATCCGATGGGTTCATGCGGTCCCTATGGCTGGACCAGCCTGCAGCGAAGAACTGGGCCCCAGTTCTTCGAGCTGCGTCCAGCGGGGCCAGCCGCGGCGACAAGGATGGAAGGAGGGCCCAGGGGCCCAGTCCCCAGTCTTTCGAGTTGCGTCCCAGCCAGGCCAGCTGCAGCGACGAGAGAGGAGGAGGAGTCGGAAGAGTCCTGCGGCCTGCGGCGCACTGCGGGCCGCCATCCGCTGGTCCGGCGCGTGGGCCGCGTGGGCCGTGGGCCGATTCTATCACGCGGCTGTGCGATGGCAAATTCGGCTAATGAAAATAGTAACGACATCAGACGATCAGTACATTGGGCACTGGGCCTTGTCATCCAAGTCGCTCTGAACCATTCCGCTGCAAAGAACCTCACTTGAAAGCCTACCGTGGCAACCAATGCGGACAACTCGCGATGAAGCCATACCGCGAACGATAGGCCCACATGTCGTACAACAGCCACCTGTCCAGCTGCTGGTTCCTCTGATTGCGTGATGGGACGTCCAGTCCCCATAGGCAGAGCTCCTCGACAGTGCGGTATGCCAATAGCGCCTCAGGCTCGATCCGCGAGAGGATCACTTCACCGTTGCTTGTGGCCAATCGCCATACACGTGTGTCAGTGTAGCACCTGCCGCCAGCCTCCATCGCCATTATCTCCGTGTTCAGGTTGTGAATGCAGCACTGGTAGGAGTTGCTGACATCATACTGCACTGTGACGTGCGCGCGATCCAGCAGGGCAATACCAATCTGATCCCAATTGTGACCACGGGATCGAACTGTGCGGCCGTTCTGGACGATGCAAGTGGTCCAGAAGATGGCTGGGTCCAGCTCGACGGACGCACTGAAGTACCGAGAACGCACTCGCACGTTGCCGAAACTCACATGCTCGAAGGCTGTCAGATCGTGGGCCTGGTCGTCCTGCAGCCTGTGGTAGGCGCTGCCACGTTGGAGCTGGTCGGCCTGCGCCCTCGGCATAGCTCGATAGAGTAGGCGTTGTCCAAAGAGATGCGGGCAGCCCCTCAACGACGTGGTGTGACCAGCAGCGCCACAATATAAACAATCACATAATCCCTGCTGCAGATGCATGGCGGTGGCCTGGTCCAACTGTTGCATTGGCTGCAATCGTGGGCCACACAACGTGGCGCACGGGCTCCTCCGTAGGCTGGGTGCCCCCTGAAGGCACGCAGCAAGGCGCTGAGTCAAACGCCTGCGGGAGGTGGAGGAGGATGAGGAGGAAAAGGAGGAGGAGGAGAGGAGGAGGGATGCCATCCTGTGGCGTTGGGTCCTCGTTTTGAAGAGACAGCGCCCCACGTTGCCTTCTCCTCCCGCAGCCGCTGCCCTCCCCCCGCCCCTCATCAGGGAGGGCTGAGGGAGGCCGGAGGTGTGTGTGTGTGTGCGTGTGTGCGTGTGTGCATGTGTGTGTGTGCGGGATCGCATGCGGATTTTGCCACTGGGGCCTTCGCTGGAGTTCACTATGGGGCCACGAACCGTGTAAGGGGTGCGCCGACATTGGGGTGGAACCGCGTGCGAACTTTGCCGCTGGGGCCTTCGGTGGGAGGCCCGCGATGATGATGACGGCGATGATGATGACGATAATGAGTTTGATGATTATGATTGTGATGATGATATGGGAGGAGGCTCGCGTTCCTCTAAACAGCCTTCGCACCGATTGTCTAGCAAAGCCTTCGCACCGAGGGTTGTTTTCCTCTACACAGCCTTCGCACCGATTGTTTAGTCTCTACACAGCCCTCGCACCGATTCCTCTACACAACCTTCGCACCAGATCGAATAGGCTACAAGCTACAGAGCAAAGCGGAGCAGAACAGAGCAACGAGAAGCTTCAATCCGACTGTGAGTCGTCAGTCTTCATATTATCCTCCATATCCTTGATGTGACCCTCGTCCCACTCACGGTTCAACTTGTCGGACTCAAGGGCGGCGTCCACGGCTGTCTTGATCGTCATCGCGCGGCTCTTGTATAGACGAAGTCTCACAGATTGCCGCCAGCATTTCGTCTTCAGCACGTCGATCGTCTTCATCAATTTGAGGAATCGCTTTCGCATGACGGGGCTGCACTTCATGATGAAAGCTGGCTTCACCCTTTTCTTAAAGGGCATTGCACCACTGCACCACGGCCACGGCACCACCGCGCGGTAGGCTGGATGTCTCTTCGTTTCTGGCGGAATGTTGCATGAGCGCAGATCGTGGCTACGGACTGAGGGAGGAGAGGAGGCAAGAAGGGCCGAGGGGAGCTCCCCATGGGTCCACGAAGCGCAGGGTGCGCCGAAATATGGGGGGGAGGGGCCTTCGGCGGAGCGGAGCTCTATATGGGGCCAGGCTCCCAATGGTTTAACGGGT